AGCCAGCCGTGGTCGTTTTATATAAAACTTCCACATGGGGTTTTCGGGCGATGCCCATATGTATAGTTTATACATATATAGATGGATTACACAAAGATCAGAGGGGTCTCTCTTCGGGAGTAATTGTGCCTGCCATTTGACGCTTCCTTGAAACAGCCCTGCTTCTTCCCCTGCTTCCCCCTAACAAAGAAAGTCTCTTTGCAGCAACCCCACTGGTTTTGAGAAACCCCATTTACTGCCACAACTTTCTAGGGTCCTTCTCAAGGCTAACAAAATCTCATTCATATCCCCTCCATCATCATCAGCAGCATCATCACAACCACCATTAGCTGCCCATCGCTGTTGCTTTCGCACGGCCCATCAAATAAATGCAACGGAGGCCTGCGCACCTGGTCTCGCATCTGAGGGACTTCGAAAAAATTGAAGGATTGAGATGGAAAAGCAGGCGAAGCTGTGGGAAAGAAACGCTACACTCAGCTACACTTTATATGCCTGGACTCCAAACTTGCAAAGTCTTCAACATCCTTTGCCACGCGTCTAGGAACCCGGGCATCCGGGGACGTGATACAGTGTTGACGGTCCATCGAATCAGGGCCCGAAACCCTGAAAGTTTCCCCCCTGAAGGCCTTTGATGCAGGTCATCATGCTCGCCATCTTGGACTTGACATTTGAAGCCTGTCGCATGGCCTGTAAGGGAGGCGTTGATTCGACGGGTACTTGATTGAAGGGTTGACCCTTGTTTGGAACCTATGCAATGCTCTCCGTGGTGCCACACAATGTGAGCATCATGATGATGTAGAAGCCAATAGGATTTAGAGCAGCAACAAATGAATTAAATCGCTGCCACCGAAGTTTCAAACCCATGTCAGCATCACGTCCATACTCCCAACATGAAGACACACATACACGTGCAGGTGCGCACGGCGGCAGCGGATAGGATGAAAACTAGCTTAAACTTGGAAGCATGACACACAGCCCAAACGGCAGAACCTCGCTGGCAGCTGTTTGCCATTTATGCACTTCTGACTGCAACTGGTCGGTGGTGGACTTTTGCTGCTCCACGACCATCTCCAGGCTCTGGGCCAGGCCTCAAATCAAGGGCTTTGCTCTAAATATTCCGATTTGGGCAAGAAATTCCACGTACCGTTTTTTGCTGCCAAGACTCGCATCCGTTCTGAATTGGATTCTGATGAGGTCCCCAGCTCAGCCAAACAGCTTTCCAGCCTGCTACGTTCCTCAGACAGTTCCGAGAGCCGGCCGTCCAGCTTCTGACACTTTGATTCCATACGGTGGAACTGGATAGCTCCACGGAAAGAACTTTGCAGCCAGCGCTTCTCCATAGCACTGGACTGCCCAACGATATAATACAGCCCGACGCCAGCAACAATGCAGAGGAAAAGATCTAGGAGCCAGGTGTTGCCCGCAGCTGCCACCTCTTGGACCCGCTGCGACACGGCGGGCAAGCCAGAAACTACACGAAGGATCTGAGACAGCTCCACGTCATCAAAGCCGTCGCCCTCGTCATCAACTCGACCAAACAGTCGCATGACTTGGTCCTTGCCAATGTTGAAGATTGAAGGATATATAGTTTTCTCTCACCATTAAGCTCTTGCCGTGCGAACAGTCATGCACACTGGATACAACCGCTAGTCGCTTCTAGTCTTGCTGTATCCGCGCTCGACCCTCAGCAACACAACATTAGAATATATGCTTCACCACGAAGATGCACTCAAGACTCTGAAGGTCAACACGCAAGCCACTAAAGGTACCGTGCCCGCCGTCCCAGCATGCACTCCTGGCCAACGTCGACTCCATTTTCTTGCAAAAGTATGGACAGTTCCTGCCAAATGAAACACCATCCATCAGAAGTAGGCGAGGCAGCTAAGCAAACAGAAGCTGTCCTTCGATGACAGGTGGTCATCATGGCCGACATCGAAAGCTGCTATGAGATCAGCTGTTCTGCGGCGCTCCTGCACCTTGAAAGCTGCGAGACACACAGACCCCCTAAAAACGCAAAATCCCTTCTGTTGCCTAGCAGCGCTGCAAGCTTTGATACAAATCCTTGCCTGGTGCCACACAGCACGCACAATACACGCTGCAAAAACCAAGAAAGCCACAAGATTTCGCGGCTTCCTCATGCCCCGAGAGACCTGAGCGCTGGTTGAATCCCAAACGAAAATTGAAAGTGACATCAAGCGCCTGATCATCGGTCTCTGAGCCCACTGCTGTCTTGGACACGCTCCTTTTCGAGGGTGATACCGGTGATACCGGTTCCAGCACTGCGGACTGTTTCGAAAAAAAACGTCTTCTCAAAGGCGATGTTGGGCTGGTCTCCCTCAAGCCTCTCGAAGGTGACGTCGAGGTCGACTCCCGAAACGTAGCTCTCCTCAAAGGTGATGTCGGAGATATCGGGGTCGACTCTGTAACCGCATCATCCATCCTTCCCTAGTCTGACCTACTGAGTGTTTGCAGTGCATTTGAGCCATGGCGTCTTTCGAGGCATGCACAGTGTACACATGAAGAACCTTCCCGAGAGAGGTTAACCAGCTTGCCTAGCTCACTTCTTTTGGCATCCTTCCTCCAAACTACAATCATTAACCCATACCAACCCCCGACAACAAGCTGGGTGGCCACGAAGGTTAATACATCAGATTGCCTAAGACATAGGCAGGCCTCCGCCTGTTTGAACCGGTTCAACCAGCGATTGCACTCCGCAATCGCGGTTTGGCAGACCGCGGTCTGCAGCATGTCAGAAGCACAAGCCCAGGCCAAGAGAACAGCTGATACACGCCTCGTTGTTCCGGGAAATGCGATAATTGCAATTCTTCCAGAATCGATTAACATAGACCTCAAGCCCAGATGACTGTCTGTCAAATGTATAGCTGGAAAGCCAATTCAGCTGAGGTAAAGGCAGCATCCATAAGAAAAGAATCTGTACCGCCACAGCAGCTAAAACGAAGCAATTGAACCATCTGACGGTGGGCAAGCAGGTTCTGCAATTCAGTGCCAACAACTCCAACAAGGCGCACCTTCTCTATTTCGGATTTTGAGCCCCAGTCCTCTGACTCGCGTGGTGGCAGAATTCCTTCACGCTTAAGATGTCAGATAACGATCCAGGATCAATCAACGATCCATGCTGCTCGCGCAGGTCCCTCGTTGAGGCTGAAGACAAACTCCATCGGCGCTGTTGACAACCCTAGGTCCTCTCCAGTCTCTTGATACTGAAAGCTTCAGGACAGGATCCAGGGCCAGGTCCTACCCTACAGCCTGAACCTTTGTGTGCGCACGCCCAACCCCCAAACCTAAATCACCCATCCAGCCGTGATAAGCTAAAGGAATCGCGGTAGAACCCTTCGCACGGCAAGACATGGCAAAGTGATCTCCTCCAGGCAGCTCTCCTTCACCCCGGCAAAGTCATCCTTCGTTGGTGGTCACGTGGTAGTGAGCCAGAACTAAGTGGAATATGCTGGACAGCGCCTCGTCTTCATCCACCGGAGCGAACGACAGCTGCGCCGCGGACTTGCAAGGTCAGCATACTTAGGACTGATGGTATCATGTTTCTCCACGGTGTTTCCGTTAACTGCAAGACCCAAACCCAAAACACATGTTGTCACGATCCCTCCCAAGCCCTGCAGGCTGGGAACGTTCACAGGCACCAGTGCGTTCGGGTGGGAAGTCTCTCGGCACTCGGAGGGCCCAAGGACGTAGGGCGAATGACCGATGGCAAAACTAGGTCTGGTTTCCGAGCAAATGTGCTACAGTCAGGAAGTAAACAAAGGTCTTGATCTGTTTACGGCAGCGCAATCTCCTGGAGCATTCCATCTGGCAGCCAAACAAAGCTTCGTCGCATGCCTCCGCCAAGTCCCCCTGTAGCCACTGTGGCCTCGCAGCTTTCTAGCTTGCAGCTTTCAAGCCGTTGTCCGTGTCACCTATCTCTTGATCTGAAGAAAAACAAGCAGCGCACACGAAGCCAAAGCGCTCCAGGTACTTGCCACCGTGTGGTTGAGGCCTTTAAGGATAGCAGCAGTGTTTCAGCACTGCGCATCTCACAAAATAATTTCAGACTACCCTGGGTCTGCTGCAAGTAGGCAGCCGTCAGCTCCATCCCAGCCTACAGGCACAGATAGGGTGGGTGGGGACAGCGGGCATGTCGTAGAGCCTCAATATCCTCAATGGCCACAATGTTGATGCCCATCTCAGCTGCTAGCTGAGAACGAGTGAAGCTACAAATGCACATTTGCAAGAGATATCTGTCACATCCTGCTACAATACCCCAGTTGAAGTTTGAATCCGGGACACAAATCGCTCAGGCCCAGAACCACCCATGCCCATTACAGCACCTTCCTGGCGCAGGGCACTTTTCCAGGCGTCTCATGACAATTTCGCAACCTCCTCTTCCAAGCCAAAAGGGGGTGAGCGGCTGCTTGCGGAACAGAACCCTCCGCACTGCCTTACCATAGTACGGCTCAACCCGCACGACTGGTTCTTCTGCTGCCTGCCATTGGAGGACAAGAAAAGCTTGAGACGGTTCCAAATCTGGAAGTTTGAGGGCACCTGCAGAAGGTCGACGCCTATGGCAAGAACGGGCCTGTCAAGCCGCAGAAGGGACGTGCAGCAGGTGACGATGTGACGGTGATGCTTGCACGCCTTCCCTCCCCATCCTCACACAGGGATCTTGACCTGACAGTTGGCAACTCGCGTGTCAGCATGCTCGAGGAGTGGATGTTCCGCAGGTCTTGGCGCCAGCTTGGCTTCATAAGGCCACTGCATGGTCAGAGCCAGAGCACCCGTCCACTCCTGCTCCAAACAGCTTTTGGGGGGAGTGGCCGGGAAACAAGCAGGTGGCCTCAAGGGAGGCACTGCCCTGAAGCTGCTCCATGTCATCCCTGACCTGGTTTCATAAAAAATGCTGCAAGCTCCTCCTGCAAACTCCTGGCCTGCAAAGTCGTGCCAGACATCTGGCCGCCACAGGTTGTGCAGCTCCTCACAAAGGCGTGGTATCGGATTATGGGTTCTGCCGTGGCTTTCTAGATCAAACCTACAGATGCAGGAACTCAATGATCAGAGCTCTACCTCGCAACCACAATCGCCGCAGTCAGTCCAGAGATACTTCGCCAGCTGTGGATCTGTCAGCAGCAATTTCAGCCTTCAACCGACAGCATCTCTCAGACTTTTGGTCTGCATATCCGGCGCCATACGCGGCTACCAAACAGCTGTGCTTCCCGCGGATGTGTCTCGGGAGCACTCACCCCGCTGTCGTACCAGTCTTTCCAGGCACTGGGCCTGTCAGCATACAATCTGCGTTCCCGGTCCACATCAAGTTTAAAGCATGCGCGCAGGGAGTTTACATGAAGGGCACGCACCTTTTCCGCGAGGGCTTCTGTGGGGTTCATTGCCAACAGACAGGTACACGGAGTGATACTTCGAATGTATGCTACATTGGCACAGTCACAGCACTTGCCGTGCAAACTTGGAGAGCTGGCCCAAGAATGTCAAGCATCAGCTGCAAAGCTAAGAGCATCGAACATGACAACAAAGTGACTGCACCCTGCAAATGGTATTAAGAGCTCAAGGTGAAAGCCATGGTACGAAGCATAAGGGTCCCAGGGTTGGGGCCGAGAAAACACCTTCGATGATGCAAAAGCTGTGACCATGTCAGGCCCTATGCGAAACGGCAGCCGTAAGCTGCTGGACGGCTTCGGAGCGCTCCGGAGGCGACGTCCCACTCCGCAGCTGCTCGAAGGCAAGCAAGTTCTGCACCTTGCTTCCAGCTGCAAAATAATAATCGCTACAGCAGCACCAGGGCAAACCATACGCACAGCAAGATGCAGCACCTAGCATCATACCTGCTATAACAAGAACAACCACCATAAGAGTTCATAACGAGAACATAGCGGCAAATCCAGGATTCAACTCCTCAAGGAAATTGCACGCAGAAAGAAAATCCACAACATGCAGCTGAGCTGCGGCAGCAAAGAACCTGCAACAGCGGACAACACATGCTTTAGCTACGAAACTGGCATACTGGGGGGCCAAGCAACTGTTGAGAACTACGGACGCTTCGAAACTGAAAACGACCGAGAATCGATCCAGGCTTTATGTAAAGTGGAAGTGCGCGTCAGCCCAGGCAATGACTCGCCGAGGGAATGTCTTGCGAAACCATCGAAACCCGCAAGCATGTCTGAAAACGAATCTGGGGAGAGTTTGATATCACTTTTCTACGCCCAAAATCTAAAGTGAAGACCACTTGCAGCAAAGTGACGGACTAGATGCCTCTTGATGGTGCACGGCACTCCTCGGTCTTTTTCCATTCACATGGATAATCTGCCCAGCATTTATCACTCGCAGGGCTGCGAGAAAGGTACTTCTCTGTCCAAGCCGCATCGTGGGTGATGGCTTTTGGTCCCCTGCTGCCTCATGATCGCTCATGTGGCGTCTTGTAGACTGGATATACACTGACTCTGATTGCCCTCACTTGGCTTCCAGATCGTGCCTACTATGGAAACTTGAGGGACGGGCTGGTTGTCTGGAGCTTGACTGCGGCATTGGCAACAGCCATGTCGACTTGCAGGAGCGTGCAGAACTCTTGCTTGGAGACGACAGGCCCACGTAGGTCCTTGGTTCTCTTTGTGCTGAGCAAAGGCATTTCAGGCGAAATTAGCAGACAAGGGCTCAACACAGCATGTTTTGAGGTGTCTCTTCCTCTGCTGCACTGGGAGTGTACATGTCCAAATTAACCTCATGAAAGGAGTCGGTAATGACAGTTGCATGCCAACAACACGAGCACACACGAAAAATTGCCACCTTGGACTCTGAGTCAACTGGCGCTTAGAGATAGGCTTGGCACGTTACGACGACATGTCTTTCAACTATGGAGCTCAAATGGGCGAAAGACACACGAATTCACAGAGGTGTCTGTTACTACAAATGCCGGAGACTAGGGCGAAGGGTTCATGATGCCGTTTTCTGCGGGCAACGCCAAACATGTGATCACCCTGCACCATTCTGTACGCCAGCGGCTTCCATTCCAGGTACAGTTTCAGCTACAAGTGAAAAAGCGGTCCATCTCTTAGTGTGGCGTGCACAGTTAAGTTATGGGGGATGATCCAGAAATACGGAGAGTCTTCAACAAAGAGGAGACGGCAGAGGGCATTCAAACTCAGCACCCTGATGGCGCGAGGTTTGCCTCTGAGTCTGCATGCCTCACGTCATGTTGTCGTCAGATTTGGTGCACGTCCGACAACGGCTCGACAGCTGAATTTGATGATCCACCAGCAGGGCTTAAGTATGTTTTCGAACTTGGAAGTGTACGGACTCTGTGTTCTGTTGACAAAGCGGGGAGACGATTCACAGGGGGAGGGTTCACAAGACGAGTGCATGGTGAAGTGCTGAGCCGAAGACCCGCCCAAGCCCGTCACGCAATCCTCCAGATGTCTGGTGGCTGCTGCCTTGGTTCTGCCAGTCTAGACAATTCAGATCATATCTCCCAAGTCATTCGTAAAAAGCAGACAGTATTCTGCCCCGAAGGTGGGATAAAGATACTGCCAGCTGCGGCATCGGTTGCCAGCTGAGCACGAGCCGCAGGAGCCGGCCTAGAAGGGGAGGCGGGCATAACCCGTTCCTCCTGCTCTCTGGCTTGGCACAGCACCTGCAGCTCTTGTTGACAGCCAAGCTTCAATAACTTGAATGAATTCTTGAATCAAGTTCGAACCTGCAACGCCGCTAGCTCCAGTCGGAGCTCCTCGCGCTCCAATCTCGCCTGGTCTCGCTCGAGAAGGGCCCTGTCCAGGGCTTGGCGCCACTCCTCCTGCCGTCGGTCCGGCTCCGGGCTGCCGGCCGAATATGGCGGTCCAGTGGAGTCCTCGCTGCAATTGTCCCTTGATCGGGCGCAGAACCTGGATGCTTCCATGCACCACTCTTGCTCCGTTGCAAGCTGCCGCTCCAGGCGCTTCACTTGCGCTTGACTTAAGGCGCGGAGCTGCTGCGACTCAGCCAGCTCTGATCGCAGCTCTGCAACTTCTGCTGTCAGCCTCTCGTCGCTGCGACACTTCCGAGTGGACATCGTCCAGGCTTCGAAACAGGCCCTCGCCAATGCCACAGCAAAGTCATCGAACACCCTATCTCCTCCCATCCGCCAGAGTTCAGCGGACATGGCAACGACATCCGAAACAAAGAGTTGACTGATTGAGTGAGATGTGTGGTTCTTTCACTCCCAGGCTCGGTTTCTTCTAACGGCTTGCAAATGCAGTAACACTGACATCTTCCGCGCTACAAGAGCAAGCTGGAGACATGCCAAAGAACGGATCACATGTGGCGCCTGCTTGTCATGAAACTATTACTACCTAGAGGTTGCTGTTCTGAGGATGGGGCTTCGTTGACCGAGATTCTTTGATCACCTCAGCAAGCTCAAAACTGCTAAAGTTCAAGCAACACACCGAGAAAGACAAGCACGGCTTTAGACATTGAAAGGGCTGTTCTTTGTCTTCTTCGTTTCTGGTTTCTGCTAAGCCTGTACGCAGCGAGTGAGTACTTCTTGTGTTGGTTGAACGAAGTAAGATGACGATGACATTCCTTTTTTTGAGTACTATAATACGAGCACCAGAAAAAAGACATGATCTTACTCGATATCCCAATTTAGAACACTACCCAAGTGGGTTCAAACACCCGTGCTTGGTCATGCGTAGCAATATAGTTATAGACTCCCGGTATCCTGCTTCATAAGCCCTAGAGTAGTACCCTATATAATCCCCTACATAACCTACCTTCAAGGAGTGTAGACCCTAAACCCTAAACCCCAACCCTAAACCCTAAATATAGGGGGTTACATAATCCCCTGTACAGCCCCCCCTTTTAAGGAGTTTAGACTATAGCTCATGTTTAGCTGATGAGCTCCAGCGGGTGTGCCTGGAAGGCCAAGGCTGCGAAGTCTCCACCTTCCAGCTTGTCCGACAAAGCCTTGGTTATATAGGGGGTTATAGACGGATATGGAAAATAGAATGGAAACTACTATGTTATAATAGTAAATATAGGGGCTACGTAGGGTTATATGAGCTATAGTCTACACTCCAAGTATCCCCCCAAATAACTGCCATAATACTCCCCCATAGAATCTTCTTCATATAACCCGCTGTAAGAAGTTTACAGACTATAGCTCAAGCTCAGTCCCCAAAGGATCTGCCTGCCTATCGGCATCACAACCTTTCATGGAGGCTACGCATGGCTGGGTCCTGAACCTTCTCTGGCTGCATGATGGCAGCGTTGTCTAGACGAAGCTCACATATTGTGTCACCTTCGCTGAACCTGATTCTGTACGGGCGCCAGCTGCAGCTGAGACAAACACAGCATGGAATCCACAACTGAGTTCTGGGCGACTGCGTGGCAAACAGCCCAAGGCCTTCACCGGCTCGGCTTTCCCGAACCTCAGCAACCTGTCACAGGAACGTCGGCGAAGAGAATTGATAGATACTGGCAGATGTCGGCAGCTTGTGCATCGCCAAGTTTTGCCGGCGATGCAGCGGCCAGGCCAGGGCATGCTCCCTCCATGACATATGCCTGGCCAAGTCGAGCCTTAAACCTGATGCGAAACGTTTGTTACAGGCACCACCAAGGATCCGTCCATGGATTCTGCCGAAGCAGCCCTGCGCATCACCAGCGACCTCAAAGGCTTACAAACAGGTTGCAACACATATTGAACTCTCTCGAAGCACCACGGGCAAGTCCCAAACCGTCTTCTCGCCACTCGCCTCTGCCCTTACCGCACAAAAAAACCAGGCTGAGATCTTGCAAGCATGCCTACAACGCAACACCGACAATGGTTCGCATGGTCTGTGAAAGAACGCCGTCAAGCTAGGGAAGACATGACTTGACCCCTCTCCTGCGCGAACTGCGCAAGCAGTGAGCGGGAGGGCCATCCAGGCATGGCTACCTTGCCTCCGTGGCTGCAAGCTTGGATTCAAAATTGTCTGAGGCTTTGCCCGCGTTGTTAGGCACATCTCTGCCACTTGCGCGAGAGAGTTTGCCATCATGCATGACACAGTCAGGCACACGCTTCAAGTTCTAGGGTCCCAGTAGCATACCCATTCATGCAGTGCCACCACCAGGGGAATTCTGCAACAGTCCTGTGTACCCCAACTCACCAAAAGTTTCTCAGGTCAAGCATTAAAATTGCATGAGCCTTGGACCATTAAAAACCTCCATTAAGAATACAAATCATGTAAATCATGTAAATCACATTAGGGAATGACACAGTTCAAGCCTTAAGGATTGGGAAAAGTATGGAAAAAGTATGGGGTTTAGGTCTAGGGGCAAGAAGAGCTTGGGCCCTGCGCAGGCCTCGGTTGATGACCGGCATGTGAAGCACACGCAGGAGATCTGGATATCGCCTGCCCCAAAAGGCTAACCTCCGGCCCATCCAACCCAATCCTACCCAAGTGGCTTCAATGGGGCTTCCTGGAAACACTGTTAGCTTCACTAACTTGACGGATGTCTTGGCATTTTCTTCGGTGGACAGCAAATTGAGCCACGTCCAGGCGTGTGCCAAACTGAGCATCCCTCAACCATAAGATGTTCAGCGATGATACCCATTGAAATCGTTCTGTCAGAACCGAATCTTGCCCCATGTGATCCAAACCATGGCTCTGCTCTTTGTGGATGGGAGCACATGGCTGCATTTCAGGAAAAATGTAAATGTAAATGAATATGAAACCTTTAAACATTCCCGTGTCCTGTGGTGCTTCGGCCGGCAACCCCAGGAGGGCTCTGTCGGCAAGCGACGCGGCCTTGATAAGCCAAGGCATTGGATGTGGGGGTTGCAAATGAACCTTACATGAAGTTCCGCTTGAAGCCTGTCAAAGCTAAAGCACAGTACAACGATATAGGCTAGCGTTGAGCATGGAATTGCGGTGCGTTGTCACACCTCAAGTCCATGGAATAGTGGTGGCAGTGTGCTGGCCAGGGGGTAGCAGCAGCAGGATTAGCAACCATTTGCTCTGTGCTGAAACAACTGCAACAAAATCAATTGGCTGGAGACAGTGCACGCAAGGCAATACAAATCCAAAAGCAAGCATTAATCAATGCAGCTTAGCCATTCATTCTGGCAGGATGAATGCAAGCAAACAAACAATCAAAAATAAAAGCAGATGAGCAGCATCGGCTGCCACAAGAAACACCAGCAAAACAACAATGACTGCAGCTACTGTACCTGTTGCTGCTACCACAGCCGCTGTTGTCGCCGCCACCGCCTCCACCACACCGCTGCCACAATACCCTGAAAATGAGGCGGAAACTGTGCAGAGTTCGTCAATTTGCGAAGACGCAATCGCTGATATTGCTTGAAACTTAGCACCAGGGATTAGAATTCGTGTACTTGAAATGCTATTAGGTTTGAAGCTTTGCTCTGAAAGGCCTTGCTAGTGAGATAAATTTGCAGTCCATCTTCTGATGGAGCAAGGGCAGTAAGGGACTGTGAAGTCTGAAGTGCGTCACAAGAGGTTGATTCTACACATGAGCTTGCACATCACGAACAACAAGCAGCTGCATCTGTTCACCGCACGAAGAACGGATGATTCCAAGACCAAGAACATCTTAAAGCAAGAATCTTTCGGATTGCTCTTCTGATTGTTCTCAAAGAAACGAAGAACCCGCTCCCCCCTCCGCCCTGGCCACCCATGCCTTCTTTGCTCTGGCACCGCGTTCAGTAGTGTAGTTGGTGGAGACTGGGGTTGCCTGCTTCCTGCTGCCGCTCTCGATACGCGTATAGGACTCCCATAACTGACCACGACTGGTGGCATCATACTACTTGCTACTACCACGACAACGCTTACTGACTACTACAACCATAACAGCAGCGTGTTCGAAAAGCGCACGATGCAACACTTGCCTAAACATTGATCACACGGCATAGGAGCTTCGTGTGAGGAATGCTGTGAGGCTTCGGCAAATGCCTTAAGCTCCCGGCTGGAAAAAAGGCCAGGGACAAGCATAACCATAAATCATAAACTCAAAACGGGAAGCAGATCTGTATGGCAATTAATGAGCAAGAATAACGTCCGCCTCACGCAAAAGTGCTTTCGTCATTTACGGCTTCCTCAGGGGTAGGGTACACGTTCATCTCAGTATGACCACTTCCCTCTTACAGCACATGAGTTTTGAAATCCAAAAAATCTATCTAAACAAACCCTGGCCCTATCCTAATCCCTCTAAACCACTGCATGCTCCCAGTTTGCATGTCATGTTCCGTTTAGATTCTCCATGATTGGGATAATATGTCTGCTACAACCCCTTGATCCCCTCCAACCCAAATGCTGAGGATGAAGCTGGCGAAGCAAGCGGCAGCATTCCAGTTGAGCCCACTTCCCCCTACGAACTACATGGCAAGCTCCGGGCGCAGATCGAAGTTGGCACAGAAAAGCAAAACAGCTTTGGCAATAGGGCTGAGATGCTGGATGAGCATGCTGGTTCTGACCAGCCTCGACACCCTATTTTCTGCGCAAGCTTTGCAGGAGGCCCAGTAGCATAGGCCGGGCACAGCTGAACTGCATTCTTGAGTAAGTCCAGAATGCAGCGGATTGACCGCATGGGAGGCGCAGCATGAAAGCAACCTTCATCAGATCTCGCTGCGAACAAGTTTTCATAGGCCAGTGCCAGGCCTCTTCGGGGCCATCTGTGATGGCCTTCCGATCAGCCCTCGCGAGCTTTGATGGCCAAAGGGCCATCACCTGAAGATGCACGAGGCAACATGTCGCGCAGCCCTGGCCAGGCTCAAAGGCTTTCACAGCTCTCTCTCCCGAAGAGAAGCAGCAATCTCTTTTCCCCACAGCTTCCGCACTTAAGGGATTACCCTTCAACTCCAGATCTTGTAGATTTGGCAGCTGCCAAACCTGCGGCAGGCCCGAGAGCAAACAGCAACCGATTCGAGTGGGATGGTTAGCATGGAATGAAGGAATGGCTTATAATATAGACTTTATACAATAGAGGATACATAGAAGGACTACAGTATTAAAGGGGTTCCTGAAGTTTTGGCCCCATCCAACCTCCGCTGGTATCGAGGCCAAGCAGTTCCGCGTCAGCCTGCACGGCAGGCTGGGAAATGGAGGTCCCCCCATGCTTAGGGTTTAGGGTTTAGGGATTAGGGATTTTCCTATAGGAACACCCAAAAAGATAGACTCTGAATTTTGCAAAAGCAAAACCTTAACATAATCTCAGTCATAGTATGTCACTGATTTTTTGACTCCTGCCCCCATAATTTGAGACCAGGTAGCACGGCTGAGCGGAGACGGACCAGTTGAGAGAAGGAGCTGGGTAGCGCAGTCAAACCTGAATTGGCTCCATGGCCTAAATTCCTAGTATCACCCTTAAAAACCCCCATAACACTCCCCTCTATATATATATATATCTCTCTCTCTCTCTCTCTCTATTCCCTAGATAACCCCATTTAAGGAGTTTAGACTACAGCTCAGTTGGTGCTATGACTCTGATCTCCGGACTTCCGTGCAGCTTATGAAAGACAAGTGACAATTCTCCGCTAACCACAACTCCTGCTCACTGGCGAGCTTGGTTTGTACGTCGCTCGCTGAGTTCAGCAGCCCTGAACCTCCCTTTCTAAGGGTGCATTACTTAAGGGGATAATGGAAAAGAAAATGGAAACTACCATTATATATTATACGGGTTATGTAGGAATAGTGGAAAGAAAATGGAAACTAGTATAGGGCTTGTTGAACAGAATGGTAGATGGGGGGCCCCAACACGTGCCTAAGGAAGATTTGGCTGGCGCCTGCGAAAGCCAATGAAGACATATTTCCGAAGGTGTTTCTGCATAAGTTGCCGTGGAGGAGCCCGAAACAGCGCACGAATTCAGCACGTGCAGCTGGCTGACAAAGAAACTTCCATCAAATACCTAGTCCTCTGTAATGTGCTCTGCCTCGGCCTGCTGTCACTGTCTTGACGACATTATCCCAATACGCCGCCATAGTATATAGCCCGAATTTCCATTTTGTGTTTCATGTTTTTGTGCACTTGGTGCTCCATTGCTGTAGCCTACAAGCCCTGTATGCTCACACTCGCATTAGATAACATGTATACACATATACGGTCCCAATACATAAACACCAACATACATATACCTATACCTATACAGACATATATGCATATACATACATATATGATGTATGTATACGTGTGTGTGTGTGTGCGCGCGCACAAAAACGTGTAGTTGATTCTTCAGTCCCGGTCCTCCAGCGCCTTCAACTGGCCAAAGGCTTCAGGAAGCTCACTCAGCTCGTTCGCATTCCTCGCTTGCCAGTTACTATGTGGGGATTTGTGGGATATGTGACACAAAAACATGATGAAAATGTACGCATCTCCCAGTGATACGTAGGGATATGTTGGGGTATACAAGGTTCTACATTTATGCAAGGTATTGCAAGATTATATGGATGCATGGGGATATGTTGGGATCCAATTCCTGGGGCCCAGGAAGTGTCTTCCAAGGCTCATTTGACACGTCTGCAGCAAGCTCAGGTTTCCTAAGGTTCGCAGCACTTCCAGCTTGACAGGTAGGGTATCCACTCACCAAGACTACAACCCTTGATCATGGGCCACAAGCCTACCGATGTCAAAGCATGCTCAAGCTAAACTAGATTGTGTCCATCTGCACAACCCAAATCATAGCTGAGCCAGACCATCGAGGTGCCAAAGCTTTCGGGCAAGCACTGCAGACGGTTGCCGCTTGCCACGAATTTCTTCAGGGAGCGCAACTGGCCCCAATCATTGGGCAGTGTCCTGCCAGCAAAGCAAAATTGCGTCCATTGTCTCCCCGCAGCCCCATCCGCAAGAAGAGTGGGCGGATTGGTTCTCTCGCTCTTCGCAACACCTCCAAGTAATAACTACGCATGCATATTTCGACTCAATAATCTCTATAATTCTATAAGCTGCTAAAAATCTTCAGATAATCATAATCTCACAAATTATCATGTAACATGATACTGGATGGTTTTGCGTGATTCTTACATCAATCCTCAAATATTTCTCATTACTTATACTCATCATTCCCAAGAACAAAACCAATTACGCCACACCACAACGTGGGTGAGGGAGGGCGAGGGAGGGTGAGGGGGTGGCCACCAGCGCGCATCCATGCATCCCAACGTATACCTACGCAACCCTCTATATCACTAGATATCCTCACATGACTTACTGGTGCTTAGTAGGGAATAAGGGAATGTAATCCGATGATTTTTATATAGTATATCCCCCTATTCCCGACAAAACGCCAGTAAGATACCCCAGCTATCCCCATTTCGCTGTCCTGAGCTTATTTCGGGAAATGTCAAGGAACTCCAAGCTCATGAGACTGGGGAAACCTCAGCCCCAGAGGCTTTTTTTTAGGGAGGGTTTAGGGTGCAAGGTTTAGAGTTGGGGGTTGAGGGTGTAGGGTTCAGGGTTTAGGGTATTCTAGGGTTTAGAGACGCGCATCGCACACAGCAAGCACGGCAGACACTGTCCCGTCCGGTAAGCAGGGTTGAGGGTTTAGGGTTTCGAGTTTCATGCACTCACCTTTTGTCTAGGATTGGAATGATGGGCGCAGGTGCTCATCTAGCTGTGATATACCATATGAACCATAGGTTGGGCCCCCACCCTGTAATAGTGGCATATTGAGAATACGTAAAGACGTCAGGATAATCACTATTATGCCTTGTGATCATCAGTGGGTGGGGTCCTTACCCAATTCAATCCTTAAAGCCGTACACGCCAAATTAAGGTCCCATTATTAGGACCGTAAATCTTGCTGCCCGGTTGCTGAATGGCAATGTCTCTAGCAAGCACCCCACAGCCTGCACAGCGGTTCTTCTAGTTGCAGTCATACATGTTGAAACAATGAAAGTAACACCGTGAACTAGCAACAATAATAGCAATAATTAGTCATATTGAAACAAGATAATGGAACATAACTTATAGATCTGAGCTCCAGGAGGTGATCGCGGCAAACGATCGCCCAACAGCTTTGTCCCTCTCAGCCTGCAGCTGTCGAAGCGAGGCCAGATCGCCCACATCTGGCAAGGACGGCCGCAGCGGATTCGCGTCGACGCACAATTCCTGCTCCGCTTGTAGCAGCATCTAGAATCACAGGCGGCCAATATTTTCCTCAGCACCTCACCTGAAGAGATGACATCCCCGCCAGTTGCAGATGACACAAGCGGTTTCCTCGGATCAAAGCGTGACGTTGAGCGTGATCGTAAGACAAAACCTTGAAGAGGATGCTCCTGCTCGGAACTGACTGGACGAAGTCGAGCAAAGACGGGAGATGCGGTCGGCTACAGCAATGCCAAGGCACCCTCCAGGTGGAGGACTTGGAGGCTCGTGGAAGGTGCTGGAGATGCGAAGTTTCTCAGCATGTTCTTGGACAGGCCCAGCACCTCGGATGTTGCATACCACCTTCTGGTGGACGGGTGTAAATACAACCGGACTGTCGAGGCACCGCAAGCTCTGGACAGTTCAAGAGAGAAGCAGGCAGCTGTAGAATTTGGTTCCTGTCCAAATCCAGTCTTCGTAACTGACGCAGCCTCCCCAGACTTTCCTCGCAGGCATGCCACTCGCAGGTAGTCAGGCATCAAGCACGAACATGTGCAGAATTAACAGGTTCAGCCGGTGGTCCGGAAGAAGCTTCAACTTGTTGTCCGCGAGGTTCATTAGCCTCAGGACATCCCCACTTGAGCTCTAGAGTATGACAGACCAACTCGAGGGCCCAAGGATTTCACCTTAAGGAAGTCATCTTCCCAATGTCCTCATCACCAATTTTTCTGAGCTCCGCCATCCACTGTATGCGTACTTCAAGGCTCCTCGGGCAACTTCTCCAACAGGCTGCCAAGAATGGTCACCTCCTCCAACCCGGGCAGCTCTACGAACGACTGCCTTATATCTCAGGTTTAGGCTGTTGAAGCACAGATACTCCTCTTGGAACCTGTCATCCACCGATGCTGTCCAAGCTGCGGAAGAACTGAAACGCTGGATTGGACGATGATCTTGGAGACAAGTCCGTGCTGAAAGTTGGTATGATTTCTAGCTCACTTCTGCACCCAAGCGCGGAGCCAGTTGCTTCAGAGCAGTCATGTTGGAAATGTTGTCCTCAATTGATTGCACACGGGCTCTCAACATCGCAGTGAGCCAGCAACATCCAACTTTCTGACTTGCATGAAGCCCCACTTGTGTCAAGACTCGGGCAACATTCGCAAACCCGTGCGGCTAATTTGCAAGGATTGCAAAGAATGACACACGGGGCCAAAGCGTTCCGGCAAGCTCTTCAAGCTTTTTGACGACAAATGGAGAGCCTTCGCCAGCAAACACACAGTGTGTGCAAGACTCTCTGGCCTGACTTGACCTACCTAATCAACGTTGTGCCTACTATGTTGTCTGACATCGGAAACTTGGCGCTACTGGACCGAGCCACTGTAAACTCCTGAAGGTCATCGAACTTCTCAATGCCAGCAAGCTTTGCAAGGCGGTTTTCCGCGAGATCAGGCAAGATCCAAACCTGCTCTCCACAGTATTCCGGGAAATTCTAGATGGGGTTATGTAGGGTATTATGGGGATAAGCATGGAGAAGCAAACGGAAACAAAATGGACATGAAATGGAGCCTACTCCAACTACTCCATTTTACATATTCCTCCTTATCTACACCGGTACTATCGGATACTGTTGGGGGTTAAAGGGGATTGAGGGACGTTATAGTCATTTGGGGGGGTTGGGGGGTTATTGTTAGTGGATGAATCCCTGGAAGGACTGGGCTGATCAAACAAGTCAGTCGGAAGAACCTGGATGTCCAGGTCCAGCTCACTGATCGGGGTGGCATCCTCCAATGGATATGGACCCAAAAGCTGAAGTCCTTGCCAGGAGATCTTACATGAGCTATAGTCTAAACTCCTAGTTTTCCCACATAATGAGCCCTGTAATACTCCCTATCTATTCACCCCCTTTGAGGAGTTTAGACTATGGCTCATATGCTGCAGCCATCTTCGGACACCGAATCTTAGCTCCGATGCATCCAAGCCGCGCCCGGGAGTAACCTGGAGGGCCTGAGCCAGTTGCAGCCGCGCCTCGCCAACGTTGGCAGCCCGACCAGAGACATCCAGCACCTCGACAGGTCATAGTAACTACTGCTAGCAATAATTTCAGTAGTAATACTAATAACAACAAATATCAATAAGCACAACTGTCATGATAATAGTAGTAGCAATAGCAATCGCTCAAACTACTCCGGCAACCACGTTCGTGCTTGATGGTCTCTTCGCCTTGCCACTCACGAGGCGGAAGCACGGAGTTGTCATGGCTTTGGCTCAAGCTATCTCATGACTGGTCCACGAAGACTGATGAGAACCCACAAAAAAATTGTGCATGCTATCCAATTGAGCATTGCTCATGCAGCAGGCTCGAGTTTACAGAGCTGAAGGCAGAAGGCATGAATGAAAGCTCCATTCCAACTGTACTGCTAAGAAGCGGCGCCGTGCTCGAGAACTTTTTTGAGGCTGCAGCGTTGGCCCACCAAGATGTCGTACTGGTCCTGCGCAGAGGGAGTAGACAGAGAATCCAGGGCCCAAGGAGGATGCCATCATGCCATCCTGCTTCATGGTGACGGGAGGTGATGAAAGCACCACCTGCGGGCTTGTGCACAGCAGTTGCGCAAGTTGGTCACAGCACTGCCTTTCTGTGCAAGTGGATATGCTGATGGCGGGCTTTCTCCCAATCCTGTGCAGCACTCCACCACATGCCAACCATTCAGAGCCCGGATCGCCCTGGGCTACGGCACACTGGGCCTCATCTACCTGGCTTGGTCGATGGGCAAGGCTGATTGGCACACCTTCCAGCGCAGAAAGCCTTGAACATATCTTTCCACAGCTACATAAGAGCGTGCATCTGGTATTCCACACATTCAATTCAACCCAAAAAACGCTTGCATGGTTGCAAGCTACCCAGGTCAAGACTAGTGATTTTCTTCTGCATCTTCTTCTGCCTGTTCTTCTTCTCCATCCTCTGCCTTGTGTTCTTTGGTGTGCCCTTCCGATCAAACCCTCCTCCATGCCACTCCTCATTTCCCCCTCCTCCATCTCCTCTCTACGTTGCTTATACTTGTTAATTTGCTTCCACAACAGTTCTTATACATATATATATATGTAAATAAGTATATACACATGCTCATATTTGTAAGTCTCCGTATATACAAACAAACGTATATCTATGTGTGTTCATTGTCGGGCGTGAACGAGGCCATTCGCTCCCCGCGGTCCAAACACCCCCTGCGAATTCCAGGGCTAGCAGTGCACACTCGTCTGCTGCAGGCAGCATCGAGCAGCCATGCCTGATGCGATTCACCCTGGCATTTGAATGGGAGGCTAAGCTTGGCAGCTTGATCTCCGGCTTTGTCAAGCCGTCCCTACCATTCCTTACCGGTCTCTGTTTCCTTTTGCAATTTGCATGGGGCAATGCATGCTCGCGCGCTCAGCTCCTCCTTTTGGGCAATAGGGCAGGACAAACAAACACTTGGATCGCTATAGCTAGGGGCACAGCGGAGGCTGAGAAAAATCTTTCATGGGATCCGATTCTCTGCCCTCAGCTTCCTTCAAAGCGCTCCTCGAGGAGCGTAGATCAACTCGAAGGGCTGCAGCTCGCCACTCATCTGACAGCTCCTTTTCAACCAGGTGTCCTGCGAAAACAGCGCAGGCAAGCCACACGCGCAGATGCCAGGTTTTCAACACAATAAACCGGTCCACAGCAGGCATGATGGTCAAGCCTCTCTCCTGGCATGAGGGGATACCAGGATACCTTTTTGAAGAGTGAGGATTGCATCTGGTGCCCGATTGGGAGGTCAGCATCCCTTTTGGCCGCGACCAGCCAGCGTGCTGTTAGAAGCGACTCCAGAGACTTGTCAGCTAAAACGAAGCTCCTGTAGCTGCAGAATGAGGGGACTAGTGCCATGGCCATTTGCCAGAGGCAGGGACAAGCCAGGGCCTTTGCAGTTGTCTAGACATCGCGAAGATCATCGAAGATCTACTGCACAAAGGCCGTGGCCGAACAAGCCTGAAATGCAAGGGCCGGCTTCAAGATAGGGCAGGCTGTGCCAGTCAAGAGTCCACCTGCGCCTCAACATGTGTTCGGCAGCAGGCAGAATGGAAACTCAGGGATATTGAGGCAAATCGTCCCAATGCTTCAGTAAGAAAAGCATGACATTCATCCCTGAGCATCCTCTCAAGTAGCCTCACGGCTCAGCTAGTCTCAGGGCCGCGGTCACTGCACACGAATTCGTCACAGTGAGACACGCCCCAAAACAATCAGCAAATTGAGCTCAGCGCTGAACTCTGCTAACGGCTCCGCTTCGCGTTCGAGCACGAATGTGAAAATCTGACATCGAATAGCAAACCACTGACCTGCTCCAACAGGAGCACACCTGAAACCTCTCATACAGCACACCAAGATCAAAAAAAAAGATTCAGAATCAAGCACCGGCAATGAAGTGGTTTGCTGATGTTTTGAAACGAAGTCTTGAAATACCAAAGGCCAACTTTGGCAGTGCAGCTTCCAGCATTTGCTAGAGTGCCAAGGCACGGAGCAGCACCGAGAAAACTGGAGGCGGACCGAAGGGATCACAATGGATCAGACAAGAGCAGCTCAGGTGGCGAGCTGAAGATGGACTCTTGCCGGCAAGAGGAGTTTTGGAGAATCAATCAAACGAGGCCTGCCAGTGTCTACCAGGAATTTACTGGGAAGTTTTCACAAATGCACGAAGCCACCTCCGAGGAAGTACGTGTGGAAGCCGCATCAGGATACGGCCGCACGATTCCAAAGTTCTGGTCATAGATCAGCATGTTCCTACGTTTGAACATAGGAGGCAACTGCTGTTTTAGCTTGAAGAGAGCAGCGCTCCAAGGAACGATCTACACATGCAGAACGAAATGCAGCCGACAATCCTTTTGAACAAGCGATGCACCCTGTCGAACACGGAGACTTGATCTAGCTGCGCTTGAGGCTGCTGAGGCATTCCTTTCCGCACCGCCTGTAGAGCGTAGCCAACTCAGGCCAAGCGCTTAAGCATTCAAACTTAGCTGGGCTGAGGCCCCATCCACTGCCCCAGGCTTTTTCGCGTTGTAAACTCGCACTGGCACTCTGTCGTCGTCCTTGCGTTCTTTTTCCTCAACGGTGCTGGATTAGGACGGCACTTCCATGATGAATACAAAAGGTAGATGTTGGCGGACCTTACACACTTCCAAGCGGCTCTGCGCTGCTTGGCAGCGTTGATGATGATGCAAGGGGTCTGAGGGTTGACATCAAGCTTGGACACAAGTTCACTCCGACGCTGATTGCTAGTTGCTGGCGCCTCCCCAGCGGCTGTGGTCTGCAATTGCCCCGTTGTGTCACCACCTTTCAGAATGATGCGCTCGTCGAATCCACTTCCGGCCACCAACTGCCATCCATCCTTGGCGTGGGGCAGACCATGCGAAAGTAGAGTGAATCACATAAAATCACGCGATGGTTTATCCTGCGATGAATCCACAACAGCAGGATTTTTGCAAAGCCAGTCGCTGTATCACGGAAGGTGCGCACCTTTTCACAGGCAGCAACTGAACTAAGAACTTGTTTTTTGAACGTCTCTGTCACTGCCTTGCTGTATCACGGCAAGGCGCCCTGCCGATCCAGGCTTCAATGCACATGGAAGGGTGCGAGCAGAGTAGTTCAGCACAACGTGCTGCAGCTTCATCCTTCTTTTGCACCTCCCGCTTCAGACTTCCTTGAGAAGGCAAGGCAACCGTGAAAACCTTACTACCACGATTATTATCACTATTACTATTACTCTTACTCTTACTGTTACTATTACTAGCACTGTTACTGTTACTGTTGCTATTACTCTTACGTTTTTCTAGTACTATGATGTTTCATTCTTATTACTAATTGCTATCATTACTGGAATTCCTGCCACAAGAAAATGAAAGAGCCGCGGCGCGTGTCAAGGAATCAATTTTGGCTTGGTTCTCCTTGATCTGCTGCCGGTATTTTGCCAGTTGGCTTTGCAAGTGCTGCACACTTCCAACCTGCCCATCAAGACATGGGAAGAAACAAAGCTGGAATTTCTGGCTGAACAGGAGGCGCTTTTTACCAGCACTGCTATTGGTACCCATTTGGCATACATGGCATCGCTCAGCAGACTGCTCTGCCCTGTCGTGATCATTCTCTCACCGACTTGACTTCAACATTCAGATGTCAAAGTTCGAAGAAAAATGAAGAATGCGGGCAGGCAGCGCTGTGCGAAAGCTCGTTGGACAATGCTTCCTTCTCCTTTGCTTGCTCTTTGCAGATATTCGTCAGTCTCGATGCTTTTGCCTCGAGACGAGCCTTCCTCAGATTGCAAGAGCCATCAAGAGCCGGTGTCGTAATGCATGGTCAGCAGTGCTCACATCCTCTACCTTATGTTATCCTTTTGGGTGGGTGAGCAAGTTCCGTCCCAATCGAAGCCAAACCGTCAACCCAGTTGGCGTGCGAAGTTCGACTCAGCCAACTTGTCCATGTCTTCACCCATGTCTGCCTGCTTACGCTGCGAGGTCAGCAGCTCTTCCTGGCCAAGTGACAGACTGCTCAAATTCAGGCATCATAAAAATTCACATATATGTATGCATGTCTCAATGGTATGGAATATACACATACACAGATGTGTGTACACACACATGTACGTACATCGCCTGGGCTGCGTGCGCATATATGCATTAGACCCAAATGTCTGGGTCTAA